GCCGCCTGCCAGTATGACCGAGCCAGTGTGACCGTAAGGGTTCTTTCGACAACTCTATTCTCCGAACTTCACTATTAAATAGGATGTGGGCAATTTTTACTGAGGAAAATCCTCTTCAGAGTTTAGAGAATAGACCAAGAGTATTTTTCGGGAAAACAATTTTTGAAAAAATGAAATTTAAGATATTGCGTCCGTAAGAACTGTACACTCCCACCTTCAATCCATTAGTTCCTAGTCTTAAAGCGTTTCCTTAGACACATAACCGTATATGACTTTGTTCGTTATACTCTTTAGTATTTTTGCGACATTAAAACACATAAGTTCCTGACAGATAATTGCAAATAATCAAATTAAGCCTCTTGATCGGTACAACGGCCATTTTCAACAATGAAAAATCCGAAAAAGTATGGGGATTCCTAGATTTTCAGCAACACTGAAATCTTGTTTGAAAAAAAATTGCCAATTTGAACAAAGTGTTTGGATATCCTGGAACTTATTTATGAATGTCTTCAAATTGTCACTATTAATAGATGAAAAATTCCCTAATAGATTTTTTAAAGTGAAATCCAGAGTCCAGAGATATTTATCATTCATTACCTGATTTATTTTTTAAAATAAAAATAAATTCAGTTGAAAGGATTAATCTTGGAATCAAAGAGATTGTCCTCTCATTTTTGAAAGTACGAAGCGAAAAATAATATACAAGTCACAGCCATTAATATTTACAATCTCTCGTCATTGACTGCCTCAAAATGCAGATTTAAAATTCAACCTGCGCCTCCGGCGCAACTCCACCGAGTACAATATCCGTTTGGCGGCTACCACGCTTGGTAAAAATCCCCCAGCGATAATGCGATTGAGTCATGTGGCTTTGGTGGGACCTTCGTCTGAAGGGCCTTGGTTCATGCCTCGGGCAAGGCAAAGATCACTATTTATTTTTCCAATGAAATCCCAGCTTTTCGTGTCTTCACGTGATCTCATACCAAGAACACCACTTCCAAATAAAAAGAAAATAACTGGAGTAGGAATTTTTGATTCGTGTCCCTGACGATGTCTAGAGTAGAAATTTTTCCTCGAAAGGTGAAGCAAAATTCATGAATTTTGTTCATTTTTTTCGAATTTATGGGTATATGCCAATTTTATGAGGCCTATTTATGTAGATGTCACTCAGTTCTACAAAAATTTTCCTATTGCCTTCAGATTCCGAGATATTTTCGGAAAATTGATCTGTTTTTAAGTGAAATTTACATTTGTACCACTCAACTACAGAATTAATTCGCAAATATCTGCAAAACTATTGACATCAGCTAAAAATGTCAAAAGGTCATTTTTCTAGCTCTTGAAATTTCCTATAAAAAGTTTTCCGACAAAAATTTTCCCATCTTTCTTAGATTCGCAGAAAAAAATAATAAAAACCTCAAAACTGCCAATTTTTCACAAAAAAATCTCTGAATCCATTAGAAAAATCAAAATTTTCCTAAAAATTTTCGTTCAAACCTCTTCTTTACCTCCCCAAGAACCTCCTCGCCCTATTCTACCATCCCTTACGCCTCGCACCCTCCAAAAACTGTGAATCCCACGCGGAAAATCCCCGGAAGCTGAAAAAACCTCGAAAAAATAAACACAAAACTTATGGACTTGTATCATTGGCAGTCGGCCTTCCCATTCATTTAGCCTTCCGCAATTGCGCGCCAGCTAGTCATGATTCTCATGACGCCAATGGTACTCTGATCGTGTGCCAGGGGCCCTCTACTCCGATAATCCCTCCCGCATTCTCCCTCTTCCCGTCTCCGCGGCCGTTGCGTCACGCACATCTCCCTGGAGTCGAAAATCACGAACCAACTGATACGACAAGACCTTGTGCCCTTCTTACGTCACCGCTCGGTGGCCCGAAGGTCCCCAAAGGGAGGGAATATTCTCTGGATGGGCCAAAAAAAGTGGAAATCCACAGACAAGAATTTAAGATTGATTAGAAGAGAGTAGAATAAACCGATTCGCGCTCAGTCGTGAATATCTCGAAATCGGCAGAGTGAAATTTAACGATTCTTTCCTCATTTTCAAGATTCTTTTTCAGGCTTCAAAATGAGCCCTGACTCGCGCTAATCCCATCATTAGCTCAGGAGATATCGACGATAGTTCATCGATTAATTTTTAAAATTTTCGAATTTATTAATTAATCGTATTAATCGTTATTTTGATTGATTTGATTTTTATGATTGTTGAAAATTTCGAATTTTTCATGAATTTCCCTGAAAGTGAGCTTTCCGATGGTTTCTTCAAATGTCATGTTTCAAATTCATTCGAGTATGTGTAAATAAAATTTTTCTGTCAACATTTCATCGAAGGGCTAAGGGGAGAGAGAACTGTAAAAAAGAATAATGATGATGATGATGACATCTTATTCAATTTAATAAAATAAAATAAACAGCGAAATAACCATTCAGTAGCGGATTGCTAATTTATTATAAAAAATTTTACTTTCCCCTCTCCCTTTCGCCCAATTTCCCCATGAGAATGGTGGACCAACTGACGTGATAAGACCCCATGCCCTTCTTACGTCACCTCTCAGCGGCCCGAAGGTCGCCAAAGGGGGAGAGAATATTCTCTCGGCGAAGGAAAAAAAAAATCTGGAGGGGATGGCGCAACGCGCCCACTTCTTTGGCAATGCGCACGAGTCAAGGTCCCGTTCCAATTTGGGTTCCTCGACCCACGTTCTCTGGACCGCGAGGGTAGGTCACAGGAGCTTGAGCCCCTTTTTTTCGCAGTTGTGCCTGAGGTCATTTACTTTTACCAAACCTCAAGGATTAGTCAATTTTTTTAAAAAAGATGTAATGACCCTCGGAATCACGCAGAGCTAGTCCAAGGTCACGGGGATGATGACTCAAGACTCTATTCGGATGAAACAAAGATATCGGTAGTGGATGGGTTGGAGATGTTTGTTGGGTGAGGGGGAAAATTGTTGAGTGAGAAAGCCATCAAGGTCTGGCCTAGACTCAAAATAATGTTATTGAGTGGTGGGGATGAGCGTTTTGTCGAGATGATAGGGAAATTGGATGAGATGATTCTTTATGAGGAACAGCTTTTCGGAGAATTTTCACTCAACATTTTTTTTAGGTTAAGACATTTTCCTGCAGACATCTGTTGCAGATTTTTGGATATTTTACAATTTCGCATGAAAATACGATTTTTTTCGAATTTTTGATCTGGTTTTTTTCATTAATATCTGGGGTTTTATGGGAGATACGAAAATTTTGATCTAGACCTTTTTTGTAGTCTGCGAAATTATCTAGAAAAAATGTTGAGATGAATATTTTGCTATCTGTCGAGGATTTTGAGATATTGAAGAAAACGTAGTCTAAATACGAATGAAAATTCTATTTCTCACATGTTTTTGTTTTTACTTTTTGCTGAATATCGCGGATTTTATTGAAGATACCTAAAGCTTTCATCTTGACTGTTCCTACAGTTCATGAAATACCTCACAAAATCTCCCGTAGATCCCAAAATTTGTTCATGACTGAAAAAACATTTGTACACCCCTAGACATTCCGCTAGTTTCAGCTTCATTCCCCTAGATCTTAAGATATTTCCCCAGAAATTTCGAAATAAAAAATCCCAAATATTGTCCAAACCCAGCAGTACTATCACTCCATCCTCCCATGAGTCCCCAAACGCCAAAAATCCCCCAAAAAAATAAAAAAACTCACCAAAACCTCCGAACAAATATAAAATTCTCCTCAACAAAAAATCCGCCATCGCCAGTGAATAATTCAATTTAGAGGATTCTCAAGGGTTTAACACGAACACCTCCCATGACTCCCCAACCCCAAAAAATAAAAATAAAACACTCCAAAACCTTCAAACAAGATGAGAAATGAAAAATTGTTCTCAGAAAAATGAAAGACGAAAGTTTTCCTGAGCAAAAAATCCTCTACCGCCAGCAAACAATTCAATTTAGGGGATTCTCAAGGGTTTAATACGGACCTCCCAGCGCTCGATCCTCCCATGAATCCCCAAACCCCCAAAAACCCCCCGAAAATAAAAAAAAACTCACCAAAGCCTTGAACCAAGTAGAAAAATCCTCGTCAACCAGACACAACCGACACCTCTTTGAATCAGCGTCTTCCTCGTTCCCGGTTCCGGTGATCACTCGTCGACCACTAAACCAACAACTTCACACCACCTCGAGTCTCACCATAAACAATTGTCGAAATCCATAAACAAAACCGGTGGTTATCACAACGGCAATGGCAACAAAACCACAAAACAAAAAAAAAAGTGTTATATTTATTCGGTGGTAAAACCGTGGAATCGCTTGCGCCACAGATGACAGAGAGGGGGCGCTTACGTCACAAAGATGATGAGCGAAGAGCGCGAAAAATGGCACTCACCAAATATATAATAACCTCAACTCATCAACATTACACACGATTAATCCGCACGAGCCACAGGGAGTCAAGTCACATTCCAAAAATTCCCAATCAGCCACATGATGACGGCAATTTGTTAAATTGATGAATTTTATTCCGCGAGTGCTTCCCAACTATTCCAAGACGGAAGAAACACTGAGCTGGCTCTTCACTCGCCTAGCCTAGCCACACACTAAACACTATCCTAGGTTAGACACTCGTGCGACAACACAAACCAATCTCTCTCTCTCCCTCCCCCCGCCCTCTCCCCGCCGCACGACTATTCCATCTCACCTCCTCCTCCCACCGCCGACTCTTCACGTCGCCGCGTATGCAGGGGGCTTTCGTGCTTTCGTGTGTGTGTGTGTGTGTGTGTCTGTGTGTGTGTGCGAGAGAGGGAGCTGTGGAGGGGCTTTTTGTAAGGCCATAGCCACGGCCATCGGGATACAACGTATGCGCTCACATGGACGGATATATCTCGCTTGGAGAGATCGTACTCAATTTTTCCAAATCTCAATTGCTTTTGTTTAGACTAAATTGAGTTTCAATTGTTTTTTGAAAAAGTAATTATTGTTTTATGTAAAGATATGATAATTATATTTTTTTGGGTGAAAAAACCTCATTCTTGTTTAATTTTTGATTGAAAAAAATTGAGTTCTTGATTTTATAGAATAAAAAAATCAACAAAAATCCAATCTCAAAAACATCCATTATTTTTCTGAATTTCAATTGTTTTCACATTAAAAATTGAAGCATAAAAAAATAGTTATTTTTACTGAGAAAAAATACTAAAAAATGAATAATGACTCTTTAATTGCAATAAGAAAGTAAATGACAATTTTTAAAAACCAAAACACAATTTGTTTAATGAAAAAAAATCATTTGTTTTCAATTTTATGAGGTAAAAAAATCTAGAATAACTCAAGATTTTAAAAACACTGATTTTTGACAAAAAATAACGTTTTTCAACAAACAAAAAAATATTTTGTTTTTTTTTATTAAGAACAGTTTTTTTTTTCATTTTTTATAAATTGTTTTTTTTAGAATATGGAAAAAAAAACAAAAATTAAATTTTTAAAATATCCATCATTTTTTCAAATTCATTTTTAATCAGAAAAAAATTGTGCACGAATGATTAGTAATTTTTAATGAGAAAACCAATAAAAAATGAATAACGTTGTTATGAAAATGGAATTTAAAAACTGAAATAAACGAGAATGTTCTCGATTTTCACATTATTTCCCTCTCTCTCCCGTGTTTTTATGCAGTTGTACATGTTGGCTATCTTCAGAGGCATATGGATGCACACCAGTGAGATTCCTTCCGCATTCGCTGTGAATTCCCATCCCTTTTATTTTCATTCTCACTCCCATTCATTAAACGTCACCTTTCCCCGATGTTATTTCTATTTTTTAGATTGAAATCGTAAAGATTTTGTCGTCAAACCGCGCGTCCTTGACGGAATATCTAGTTTCTATATTTGTTTGATAATATATTTCATTCCTTTGGCAAATGGTCTTGACGTTTGAGATTTCTCATACAGCGCATTCCATTGTGAAGAGAGAGAAAGAGAGAAAGAGAGACGACTTTATAACGAAAAAGACAGAGATATATATTTTTTTCATGAAGGTCTCGCGCGTCTGGTGATTTAGTTGGGTATTAGAAAATAATAAATACAGACAGCAAGGTGACTCTTTACTCTTTTCAACTTGGGTTATCGAGGGAAGGGGAAGGGATAATGAATGCTCGGTGGATTTGAATCAACATCAAATCGTGAATCCACTGGTAAACGGAGTGGCGAATGATTCGAGGCACTTTCTAACGAAAGTGCAAGTTCTTTTTTTCACGCTGAGTGCTGCGTAACCGTAGCGGGACGAGACGCAGCCAGTGGAGACTTTCCCGTGGAGTTGATGGAACACTGGCTTTTCCGTGATTCAACGAATTAGTTTTGATGGCAGTTGGGTATTACTTCCGTTTTCCATTTTAATGGAGGGCTATTTGGGGGAAGTGGTTACGGGAGGTTGACTGACTTGTTGGGGGCTTTGAGTCGATGATGAGATATTACTGGGAGTTTTGGGGATTTTTCAAATTTCAATAACTGCTGCATTTGTATTTTGGCAAACCAGTTCAAGTCGATTTTGACTATTGACGAGTTTTTAGTGAATATCACGGAATCGAAGGGAGATAGCTCAATTTTTGTCAAATCCTTTTTTGTAGCACTCAATTTGCTCTAGAAAAAAGTTTATTACGAAAATTTCATTATCTCCTTTAAACCGTTTTACCACTTCGCTACTAAATTCAATTTCGTATCAAATCATTCATGGGATTTCTGATTAATCTTGTAATTTCAATAAAAATGAGTTTTTAATGTTGAGCAGTTATTGACGGTCCAACGACAGCTGATTCCTCAAAGTCACTGTGAAAATTCCACATCACAGTCAATTGAATGCTCAATTCAATAGATTGAGAATTCAGAAGAATAATTGCCTGAATTTTCACAATTTTCAGTAATATTCATTATGCACCTGAAACTAGCGGAATATTCGCCAGCGGAAGATTCAATTTAGAGGATTTTTAAAGGTGTGAGATTCAAACAATCACATGTACAAAGGTTTTTAAAGTGCGAAAAATTTCGTACATGATTAAAAAATATTCGCACACCTCCAGAATGTGTTTAAATCGCATCTTCCGCTGGTGAATCTTTCGCTAGTTTCAGATTCACATATTCATTGCCATATGAACCTCAACATTGCAATGTAATAACATTGCAATAGACAATTGTCAATAGACAATTTTTCCCATCCAAATGTCAGCCAACAATTGCACTATTGGACTGACATTTTACATAGTCAACCCAGTACTCAACTGATAATTTCTGATAATAATTTTTGATCGACCCAAAAAAAAATCAAAATCACCGCACACCGTCAATCAATCACTCGCCCCCTGATACAACTTCAAAACCCATTGAATTCGTGTATTCACCACCAGCCAGTTGCGCAATTCCCGTCCTTCAATCCGTCAAAACTATTCACTCAAGAATAAAACAAAAAAAAAACCTACTGAGAAGGGGTATTGAACGGCGATAATGATCCCAATGCAAAACCTCTCGTTTTATAGAACGAGACGTTTTATAAGGCGCGTGACCTTGGTCAAGTGGACCCCAAACAAAAATCACCTAATGTTTGATTTTGGCGGCCCCGGCCGTCAAAGTCATTTGCCCCTCGGCGCACACAGTCAAGGCCCATTCCAACGACTCGCCATGACACATATATATATGTATATACGTGATGATTCCCACATTCTTCATTCGCCCATTTTTTTTAATTTCAATTTTTTTCTCTAGAATACTTATTTATCAACATACAAAACGAAAATAATAATAATAATAATTCATCAAAAAAAGTTATTCATTCATTGACACTAATTAAAAGTGAATTTTTCATACAGATTCGAAAAAATGTATCTTTTTCAAAAAATCGATTTTTCAACGATCACTCAAAAATTCCCATTTTTTTTCTCTAGAATATTTATTTATCAACACGCGAAATGAAAATAATAATAATGACAACTCATCAAAAGAACTATTCATCCACTGACACCAATTAAAAAACGATTTTTTAACGATCACCCAAAAAATTGATAACAATAACCTCTTGAAAACGAATTCGAGTCTTGAGACGAACTGAAATAATACGTAAAATTTTGATGGCATTTCAATTGATAATAGTACTATGGCATGAAAAAAATAGAAGAGAATAGTGAAATAAAAATTAAAAAGAAACTCATTTGGAAACAAAGTGCTAATTTATCAGCAACAATAACTACACTCATTTATTAAAAAAGCCGATTGTCCACTTGTTTTTTTATTCTCATTCATGCTCATTATTCCGATGAAGAACAACGGCTTGAGGGGGCCCGCGGGCCACTCGAGAATGTGCAAATGCGACTAGTTTAGTACAACCAGTGGCACTCTCACTTTTAAAAGCGAATTTTTTTCCTCCTTTTTTTGTCTCTTTCCTCTCTCACCGGCGGATTTTGCACTCGCGTCCTTCGGTCGCTCGCATGTTTGACCTACAGTGTTAACGGACGAATACTGGGCCAGTGTCAGTCAATGGCATGGTTTTTTTTTTGAGGGGGGGGGGATGACGGAATGATGGAGAGTGAGAGTGGAGAGTTGAAGGGGAGAGAATAACTCGGAATCCCGGGAAGATGAAGGATTTTTGGAGAGATGTTTTTCGTGGAGGGGAGGGAGATCTAAAAAAAAGGTCTGAACGATGATTGCTACTGAATTAACTTGCAAATATCCCCAAAAGTATTGACTCCAGAGATAAATGTCGAAAAATCATTTTTGCAGTTCCTGAAATTTCCTACAAAAAGTTTCCACCAAAAATTTTTCAATCTCCTCTAGATTCAGAGGTATTTTGCGAAAATTCAGTGGCGAAATTGTGAAACAAAATGAATTGATTTCAACTTGGAATTTCCGGGTTTTCGTTAATCTCTGGAATTTTCGTGAAAGAGCATCGCTTTTCATGATCAATAACAACGTGGATTTTCAAACCTATCGCAAAAATTAATCAACAGATTGAAAATTCAGAAGAGAAGTTGCCTGAATTTCCACGTTTTTCAGTAATTTTCATCGTCTTATGAACCCGAGAAATCTAATTTCATTCAATATTCAATAAAATTGACGGATTTATCAATACCAAGATGAATTTCAAAATTTCGCGAGTAATTTTCTAACAGTACAGCAAGCCATGATCACCATGAAGCCTCTAGAAATGGTGGAGTCCGGGGCCACTGGCCAGTATCTAGGCCAATGTTACCCCCCGAATTGCCCAACGAGGACCCCTCGAGGCCGCTCTCATTGCCCAACCTCTCGCGAAATTTCCCCAGTGCAGAGCAAGGCACAACATTATTCTCCTCTCCCCGCGAATCCAGGTTTTCTCGTTCAGCCCCTTATCACCTGCGATCGCATCCATATCTCCTGCTAATGTGAATGAAAAAGTAGTATTGAATTTTGCATTAAACTTCGGGACTCGATGCTCTTTCACCAGGCATATGCATGCATATAACAAACGAGTGAGCGTTCGCTCTTAATTTTTCATAGCTGGTGACCCGTGGTGCAAGCTAAACCCACTGGGAGAAAGTTGCCAGGGACTTTCTCGCTGCCTCTCTGCACATCGATGCAAT